TTACAGTCAATTTTTATTTGACTACGGTACAGAATAATTTACAGAATTATACCACGTATAGAATTTATTATATACATTCTCAGTCGTTTCATATCATGCACGATTAGTTTTCAGCGAGAGACGTAATATAAAAATAAAATTTTGCGGCGCGTATTAGACATTCAGGAAGCAAGTAGTAACACTGCTTGAAGGCACTAGTCCTATTAGATCTTAGAGTCAGTCATTCAGCGGAACCTAATTTCCAACACCTTTGCAAACTCAGCCGTCATCTTCATCTCCCATCGCCGCTTCTGCTTTCGGGTCGCGGAGGCAGACGCGTTAGACAGAGCTTCCAACGTTCCCGATCCTGTGCCAGAGTCTGTGCTTCGGCAGAAGACATCTGGAAACTGGAACAGACTCCCTCCAGATGTTTGCACCAGGTTATTCTTGGCCGTCCCCTGGGCCTTCTGCCGGTCGGCCTGGCAAGAGAATGAGAAATGAGACAGACGCGAAAAATGAGAAAGAGGACAAAAATAATAATACGAAAAAGATTATATAGAAAAACGGAGCAGAATGTTATTTATTTAATGAAACGAGAGTCAAACATTTCTCCCTCATTCAACTTGTCCGGAAAGACGAAATGTTACTAATGCAAGTCGACGTTTGCCAAATGTTGTCTTCTGGAACCATTTTTGTAATAAATTCAGGGTGAACACTTGTGATAGACTGATGATTCATAGAGAACGTAGAACATCAGCAATTTGTGAGGACAGGGTTTAACACTGGCAAGTGGCGGCAATCAACGTTTTAACCTGTCGGATAGAGCTGATGCACAGCTTTCAAGCTTTCAATTCAAAAGAATCAATCATTTCTCGTGGTTTTAAAACGATACTGGCATTTTTATCTGTATTTTACTTCGTATTCCCGCAGGAAGACCAGTAAGACTTGCACTGATTGCTTCTTACATCAAATTATGAAGTTAGTTTTGATAAGCAATCACAACTGTTACTCTGAAGGAATGTTATGTGTACAGGTGAGATGAGTAGCACTTTATCACCTTGATGAGCCCACATGCCTTTATCGTGGTGTTTGCGAGAACCCGTGTTCTGATATATTTTCGCTCCCACCATCATTTTGCTTTCGTATTTTGAGATATATTTTTTTACTACATAACTAATGACTCCTCAAAGACCATATTTTATGGCGCATTGCAGTGCCCCCTTGCTCCTAGTTGCCTACGGGGCCATTTAGGCAGGTCAAGAGCTCCATGATATTTGACCACCTGCAATGCTAGATACATCCCGCATCATTTTATTGCTAGAGACGTCTCGCACTCATCACGAACGATGTTTCAAGAGCTCGCACTCCTGATATGATACTTCATACACGTCATAAACTGTCCTTATGCCTGAGTACGTTAAACGACGAAAGACTCCACCTAGGTCAGACTTCGCTGAGCACTGCAATGCAACCTTGCTCCTAGCTGCCCATGGAACCGAGAGTTTTTACCATGATCGAAAGTTGAAGGATAGCTAGTATTTCAGTGCGGCAGTTAAGTTGTCATATGAGGAGTTTACCACCAGAAAATACTTGGTTATCGTACATTTAAACTTGTACGTGTCGCTCCAATAAATCACGGATAAATAAGAATTTTCCCCTTAAACGACGGGGCTTCCAGCAGCTTGAGAAAAGTCGATAAGCTTGCATGCCGACGAGGTACTTTCAGGAAAATATTAACTTCGTCCCTGTCCTGAACTAAATCAGTGCTTCATGTTTTTCATTGGACAGCAACCATTTCTGGCTGTTTTGAGCTACCACTTCGTGTCATATATCTTCAAGGATTTAAACTGGAGAATAAACTATGACCGATGTTATATTATCACTAGTTTCAGTGCATGAAAAACTTCTGAAACTCCAAAAATGTCGGTTATCCGTTTATGATATATGAATCGCGCATAACATAAACGTAAATAATCATTTTCAAGTTAGGCAAATCATGCATCATTTCTGTCAAGGGGATACCCGACATGATGCTCGAAAATGATCTCTACGTGGATAAAATCTCACAGTGCCCCTCGAAGCCTTTTAATCAGACCGATAATGAATACCGATTTAGAAAAGGGCTTCATCCACACCATGATTAACGACAATTTCTTCATTAGTTAAACATTTCTAAAGCGGCAATGTACCCAATTTGTGAAAGCCGTTTTTGATTGGTTCAGAGATCAAGCCCTTCGAAAAATTTCTGCTCTTCTTCAGGGGCAATACCGTTCTTATTCTTCCAAATCGTTTGGTTTAGTAAAAGTTTGTGCATCACTTAGATCGCTTGCATTCCGGCATCGTTGTCTTGAAATATATGCATACTTTACATGAAAATATTAAAAAAATGAAGTGAATGGAGTACAGAGGACCAGCGCAAACACGAATCACAGTAATGCTTCTTCAAAATCTGGATGCACAGTTCGAAATCGCTGTCCAACATGTGAATTAACACCATTCCCAGGGCGAATAGAAATTATGATTCCTCTGAACGATTCTTCCTCTCATCCAGCGGTGTAAGAACGTCAAGCGACCCTCCCGGTGAATTCAACCATACAATACTAAAAGAGGCAGAGACTAGTGCGTAACTCTTCGGAAACCGGAAATGCATTTTTCTGTACCGTAAGCAGAATTCAAAGAGCCTAAGGGTTCTCACGGTCTCAGAGAATCTGCAGAGGCAAATTCGCTAGAGCTATCTTATGCTTTACATGAAATTACCATATGATATGAATGCGTATAAACAGTTAAGTGTTGGAGGATATCAGTTGTTCTAATGCCACAGTACGATGGCCTGCCTGATTAGTTCTTAAGCAGCTAGGAGAAAGAAGGTGGCATAATAGTGGCGTGAAAGAAGTTGGCAGGTGTGGTCACACACAGCGGACCATATTTTTGATGAGCGGCGCAAATCAGTATCACTTTTAATATGCTATTGTTTTGAGCGTAGTAATCGGAACAACTAGTCAGTCACTACTGGTTTCAGAAATGCAAAGAAAGGTAATAAGGAAGCAGGCTGCACCTTCTTAAGATTGCTTAAAAGGAATCACCGAGAAAATTATTTTTAACTACAACCTGTCAATCAGTATTGGGCGAAATGCAAGTACGGTAAACGGCATCGTACAGAATTGGAAATGAATTAAAGTAAACAAAATACTACTGAACATGTGTAGCACTTAGGTAAGTATGACACGCGGTGTACTAATATAACCTTTACTAAACTTCATATCTCAGAGACAGAGCTCTCAATGACGAGACAGCAAATATAAAAAAAGAGCGGTCAGTCGAAAACGTCTGTTAAAATAAACAGCAGCAGAAACAAGAACAGTGCAAAATATTAATAACAGCCGAGGCTGGAAGCAGGGATTTTGTCTGAGTCTGGGTAGGATTTTACGGAGTCACAATCGTGGTCGGTTGTTAAAGTTCACCGCAATCACGATCCCGTGAACTCCACACTTTGCTAATGCACTGACAATGCATCAAAATAGTTTACTTAGTGTAACGTAACTAAACAGATTTACCGGAACGATAAACCACTGTAGTTATCATCACAGCGTACCTTTTGTTAAATAAGGCGATTTGTTGTTCTTGATGATGGCTGTTGCTCATAGCCATTCCCGGTTGAGTTGCTTCTGGTTAGGTTTTCCGATTAAAGCAATTGTTAAGTCGGATATGAAGGCCACGATATGGCCTGTTGCCTATTCATACAGGACTAAGTTCTTGTCTACCAATACTAGGATCCACAGAATTTTCTTTTTGTGCACACTGTACTAACTATCTGCAGGTTGTGATGTTTCGGCCGTTTGCAGCAGTTGCAGACCATCAGGGGGTATGTGATGTGTCGTACGGTGAACCTTCACGAATTTTGATAGCAGTGCAGATTTTACAGTACTACTGAAGTCAGATTTCCTCTCCGAAAGCTTAGATCACTACACTCTTTAACAGTGTGACATGCTGGCTTCCTAACAAAGTTGTGTCGTGTGTCAGTTCCCGCGTGAACAGCTCGGAGGTACCGGAAAGTACCTACCGTAGTTTAATGGTTAAAATAATGTCACCCTCACTTTCTCAATATCCAGTCATACTTGTGATACCTTTTATCTGCTTGACGAATGATCTGTTAACGGGTTGGACGGTATTTTACCCAGAGTAGACGTACTAGCATTGCCTATTGTAAAAGGACCTTCAGACACTGTAATGTATGCTGATGACTACAAAAGCTCTTCCACATTTTATTAGCATGTTGATCTCAAAAACAGCATGCACTATCCATCGAATTTGAGTCCACGGTTTTTCTTTTAATGGTTTTAAAGGGGAACCGTTCAGCAAGGAATAAATTTCGTTGATTAAAGTTACCCTAACAGCGTCGTGACAGAGTACATATGGTGGTTAAATCTCATGTGGATGACATTAACATGTCTCGACTATCCTTTATGATGAAGGTCAAAACTCAAGACCAGTGGGATGCCTCACGGATTTTTATCTGCAACACAATTGCTGGATTATACCACAACAATAATCACATTTGCAATCCATTCAGGGGGTTGGTTTTATTAGAGTGGAAATGGGACTATATGAAAATTAATCTACGTCACTGGCAGTGCAAAATGAAAATCAAGCAGGATTTTGAAACAATCCTGTCTCAATGGAGTTCTGCCTTGAAACATTTTTTCATAATTATTTCACTAAAGAAATTGAGCTTCTTCGAAAACTATTCTTCCTATACCTGAAGGACCGCCCCTTTCCTCTGTCTTCATCTTCCACCGCCGCTTCTCCTTTCGGGTCGCGGAGGCAGACACGTCAGACAGAGCTTCCAACGTCCACGATCCAGTGCCAGAGTCTGTGCTTCGGCAAAAGACAAATAGAGTCTGGAACAGACTCCTTCCATATATTTGCACCAGGTTAATACGTGCAGTGAACTTGATGTATATTTGTAATTTGCCTTCAAGTTGCAAGTATTTTGCTGTTTCAAATATGGATATTTACTTTAGGCTTCTGAAAAGGAGATCATATGGATTATGAAAATATCGATCATCATCGTTGGAATTCTGTCTACGGTGATGGCCATAACAATCGACACGATCTATGGTTTGTGGTATCTGTGCTCTGATCTGGTCTATGTGGTGTTGTTTCCGCAACTAGTGTGTGTCGTGTACCTGAAGAAGGCGAACACCTATGGAGCTCTGTGCGGCTACATCGCAGGCTTGATCCTGCGTATCATTGGGGGCGAGCCGTTGCTTGGCATTCCGGCTGCCGTTCATTACCCATGGTTCGACGAGGAAACCGGTGTGCAGATGTTTCCGTTCAAAACGATGGCCATGGTGGTGTCGATGC